AGGTCCCAATTGAAGATACACATGCGTATGCACACTGGTGACAGACCGTTTGAATGCAGCCTATGCTCCAAGAAATTTGCACGCAAGGGAAATTTGAATCGTCATTCAAAAGTCCACACAAATCCACGCCCAGTGAAATTCCAATGTTCGGTTTGTGCTCGTAGCTTCTCTGATGAAGTGGAAAAGAAGCAGCATGAACTGAAGTGTACGAATCGACGCTACGATTGCTATCTGTGCAATAGCTACTCGACGTTTCTTAAATCACTAATGATGGGGCACATGCAAATTCATCACACGGGTGTCAAACCATTTCGATGTAAAATGTGCAAAAAATGCTTCGCACAGAAAATTCACCTTACGCAACACCTAAAATGCATCCATAAATAATAATGTAATGTAATGTGGCAGAAGTTGGAAATCCTTAGCAGAACAACACTAGCCTCCATTGCAATATCAAAGCCTAACATACAATCGAAACAACTGAATTCATATACTGATACATTCGAAACTGATAGATAAATACAAATAAACTTAACTCAATTCATTGTAGATCTGTTCAAATTGATTCATAGCTAATAGCATATAATAATCATTAAATAAATACAATTGGATTTGTATGAAAAAATGTGAATAAAACAGATTGGATTTCTATTGGTTTTTGGAAGATAAATGCTTTTATTTCGACTTGTTTGTGATTTGGCAAAAAAAAAAATCATAATTTTTGGAAATAAAAAAAATCACATTCGTAACTACAAATTTCCCGTCCCGTTGAACTTTCTCCATTTATTTATTGTATTGCATAAAGCAAACCACAATATTTTCATTCAAGAAAATTCCCTTTTCCAAACGGAATACTTATTACTCAGTGATTGATTCACTAACCACAAAGATTTTCTTTTGAAGTCAACGATTTCCGGAAGCTCAAGAAATGCATTATTTCTTATCAAATCCGATCAAGTTCAAAATTAAAATTTAAAAAAAAGAGCAAAACAACGTTTAAAATTTGAATTTTTTCTATCTACATTACAAAATTTCTTCAAGACGGACAACTCCAAGTCCATGATAGTGAATAGGTTGTATTGTATTTTGGATTATCAAAATGAATGACTTCTGTAAATCAATAGGTAGTTCATGCCAATTGTATTCCTACAAACATTCGGAAATGTTCTAAATACATTCAGTGGATCTTTCTATGGAAATATGGCATAGTGGCAATACAAATACTAATTCGAACCACTTCAATGCATCCAAAAAAAAATTATTTTCTATCGAATTCTAAATACCGTTTTCATTAAAAGCTTTCTTTATTGACAACCTTAAAGATTAAAATTGAAAATCTTAAAATTAACAAAAATTATTAAATTAAATAGATAAAATACATAATTTTTTCATACATAAATATGCCTAATCCTAATAAGTATTGGTTTTCGGTTGATCGATAAATATTTTGATTGGTTTGAAACAGTCTTCAGTCTTCTTAATATGTCATCACTACGTGAAGCTAAAATTAATTCCCTGAACATATTTTTACTGACTAATACAACAAATTGATTTTAGCTTATAATGTATAATGCAATAATGCATCAAGCATCAACTTATAATTCATAACGGTATAGATTCATGGTATAAAGACTTTAACTTAACAATAAGTATAATTAAATAGTTCTAATTAATAAGAAACAATCTCGTAAAGAAACACCTAAATCAATTATACAATAAATTTGCTTTGGATAACGAGAAGAAATTTGTTTTTCTCCGGTTTAAAGATGATCTCCAGTAGATCATCTACTTAATCGCGAAAACTAAAAGTAGTAGAGTCGATCACAGATTAAATCAAAAATAATACTAATGGTATAACGATCGTAAACAACAGTAGAATCATGAAAACATTGCACCCGGGTACGGCACAGTATTTAAAACAGAAAATAATCGCTGCAATTACGATAATTATCGCTGCAACACCGATAATCAATAGCAAAATGGGATTGATGTTATTACCGTTGCCGATATCGTTTAATGCGCTAATGGCCGACGCTTTATGAATCACACTCTGTAATTGCAACACGTCTACATTGTCACGAATCTGTGTTAATCGATTCAGATCGTCTTTGCTAATATGTGCCGGTAACTGTGTATCGATGAGACTTTTAACATTCTTGGCTTTAGCTATTTCATCCAAAACACTTGCATTGAATTTCGCCGATGGCGTAAAACGATGCGATTTTCTCATTTCAATCGTTTGGAATGCAACGATTTCGACTCGTTCGGTTTTAATTCGACATTTTGGTGACAGTTGAATGATGCCCGTATCCTGGAGCTGTAGTTTGGTTCGTGAATTCGGGCATACAATCGCTACAGTTTGTACCACTGGTAACGTATACAAATATGTGTTTGGCTTTTGTAGCTTCACCCAAACTTCATCCGTTAGTTTAATCGGTCGAAAATCACAAGTGCTCGTATTGTTTGTATTTCGCAGTAAATTTATTTCACACGCTAAATTGTTATTGATTGCCATAATTGGAAAGGTTTGCTTACAAATTAAATTCTTTCCATCGATTCGATGACAATTCCGTACATCGTCAAGGCTTAAAGTAACAAATTGTTCGTTTGCAGCATCAAGTGCGATGTATTCGTTGCGTGAAACGACATAGCTAAATGTTTCGTCATTTTCATTCGTTGCATTGTTTTCATTGCGACGTGGTACGCTTATCACTTTATACAGTACAAAATTTCTCGGTTCAACCAACGGAATTGAGAATCGAAGTACGAGATGATTGTCAATAATTCGTCCTTCAGTCGATGCCATTTGATAGAATTTCGAGAGATTCTCGGGCGTCAGAGTCAATGGCAAATGTAAACCTTGCGATTTGACCGTTTGATGAACACGTTCCAATTCATTCATAAACGTTTTCGGTGGAATTAACTGGAAGTTTCTGGATTTTGTGGTGATCGTATCGAAGAAATACTGTTGTTTCTTCCAAAAACTCGATATTACAAACGTCGTATACTGCATCAGTTCCGTCAACTTATCGGTTAATGTGGTTGAAATGGTGACATTGTTCAGAATACGTTCGATATCATTGAATTGATTTTGTAACGCTGCATGTTGAACCATTTGCGATTGCATCGTATTATTCAACACGGTGAGGGTCTCTTGGAATAAGGTGGTTTGATTTTTGCCAAATGAAATATGCTCGACATTCTCCGTTTTCAATGCATTTATTTGACTTCGATAGTAAGCAGCATCATCTTCGGATAACGATGAAAATAACTGCTTTGAAATGGTACCTATAAAGCCACGCCGTTTTCTACGCGATCTTGTGTTATAAAGTAGGTTCTGGTGTTTTGATTCGGTTTCGTGATTAATTAGCCATTTTATATCAAATTCTTTTGACTCATCCAATAAATTGTACAGCTGAGGCATTGTATGATCACAATAGGCAGCTGGAGTTGGAAGAGAAAATTCCGCTTTTATACTATCGCATAACGTTTGAATGGTGTTCACTGTTTGCTCTAAGTGCTCACTTTCGGTCGCGAAATAGGATAAATTGATGTATGTGACGAATGCCCACTCGGAATGGTAGACTTGAAGGTTGGCCAATTCCTCGAAATACATCCCCGAACTTGTGTTCATGTCGTGTTGATGAAAGTCCATATTAATTTTTTCGGAAGTGTCGTATCTGGAATAGAGAAAATTGAATGTGAGATTTTTTTATCTATGGATTTTAATGCAATCAGAGTTTGAATATTTGCTACTGAACAGGCCTGGACTGAGAGGAATTTGCGGCCTGAGGCGTTATTTCAATATGTTTATGTTGCAAGATTTTGTTTGTTTGCACAGATCCACTCAATCAATTATATTAAGGTGGATCGCTGCTAGCAATGAAAATCTTGCAGGCCAAGTATCTTGCACCGTAAACGTGTTTCAGGCGTCTGAAACAGCAAATTTAGCTCATCCCAGAAGCAATAATACACTCTCTGGATTCAATCGTGAAATTCATTTATTTGTGATTTTAAAACTAGTTCAATTAATAACACTTACCTATCTTCAATCTGGATAACTGCAAAAATGGAAGAAAAAACATTGAATTAGTATATGTTGCGGTAAAGTTTACGATAAAACGGCTTTTTCCCCAATGAGATGCCGTTATTCTAGCGCTTATATGCCAGAAATGTCTCGAATTTCCAAAAAAATATCTCATCAATCGATTTACCTGGGTGAGTGGCACATAAAATTGTACCATAAAAACACAAAAGTAGCACAGCTAACGAATTCATTTTGCCGAGTTTGCGGTTGACAGTGAGCCAGTTTGTTCAAATCAATCTACAGAAGTGTAAATAAAAGCGTTGAAACATGAGTGGAAATATTTACACAAAAAGTCTTGTAAGATATGTTGGTAGATAAGTGGGGGAACCGATATGTCAATAGCACACGTCTATCGTTCATTCATCATGATATATGACTGTTTGTTTTGTGTGTGTGATACATGTTATGGTTAATTTTCAATAAATTAGCAGTGAATAAATTATAAACGGCTGGAGGGGAGTTTCTTTTTTTTTCAAACCAATTTGATGATTAATCGAAATTAAATCGAACCAAACCAAATGATGATTGGCAACGATTTTCCCATTCCAATCAATTATCCGGTGGATAATATCCATGATGCCCTTAATGAGTCACATCCGTCGCGAATGAATCACACGTGCTGCGCACTAGTGCAACAGTTTTCAAGTCATGGGCTTGTCACGACGTGTTC